TCTTATCTTTTTCTTTTTAACTATTTCCCTTTTGTCCTGTGGAATTACTATTATATTTAGCCCAATTTACCATAAATGTAACACCTGTGATTTTCCTCATTAAAAGCAAAATTGACAGGGTTATGGGATGAAAGGGCAGGGTATGGACTACAAAAGGGCTAGTTAACATAAAGCCATTATACTGCTGCACTGATAAAGCTCATTTATATTCACCAGATGATTAGTTCAATCAATATTTACTCCTGTGTGCATCTTCAGCTACAAAGCATACAATCTTCAGTGTCACAGTGCAGACCTTAATTTCTGGGAATTCACTGCACCGCTTGAGAGGTAGGAATTTCTTGGATAACTTGGGAATCTTTCACCCCTTCAAATTTATTTTCCTGTATCAGGTAACCAATGCGCACACTATGGCAGACCCTGGGTCCTGGAACTGTTTAACAAAACTCAGTACTGTTAAAGGTATACCTTACCCACATGTTTCTGAGGACGCAAACGTCACTCTGATATACAGAAATACGTTCCACAGCGTCCTAAAGACTTTCCACACATTATCACAAGTACATTTTAAACAGGAATTATGACTTCCAGAATTCTTGTCTACTCGGGACTTTTTTTTCTTCCTGATAGATTTACTCCTCAAATGCCAAACATAGTTTTTTAACAAAAAAGCACAATTTAAATGACCTCTACTATTGTACTGTCAAATTAGAAAAATCATATCAACTTACTGCTTGTGACTGGATTTGTAAAAGGATAACAGTGGAAGTCATATATTTTCTATACCACAAAAGAGAAATTATTCCCAGTCAATGCACACGGTATTTTTGTAGTTTTTAAATTAACTGTCACCAGACTTCCATCTATGAAAAACAAATGTAACTTAAAAAATAAATAAATTATATGATGAAAAAAATCTTATATATATATGATATTAAATCTTATAGTTATCTATTGATAAACTTTCATTATGTATTCTCCTCTGACCCCCAATACTGTAACATACTACAGTTAAAGATAAAAGGAAGATACCATATGGAATATAAGTATGATCCAATGCAAAGTAGAACTATAGCTGAGGTACAAATGGGCTCTCATGCTTTCTCCCTTACTTTGTTCATTCTAGAGAGGTGTCACTGTTTACTGACTATACATATCTGTATTTTTTGTTACATGATACAGTTTATTACAGACTCGTGATTTTCAAAGCGTTTACTGACATTTATTAAAATTTACCTGCAAACATCTAACACCAGAAACTTGTGCTTTATCACGTATCAAGGAGTCCCAATGAAGTCAAATAACATTATTCAATTAAGGAGTCACTAGACGCACTGTGAGGACAAATTGGTTTTACAGTTCTGGTAGGGTAAGGTCCTAAGTCTGTCCTTTAAATAGTCAATGCAATTGATGCATTTTAGATTATTAATGTTACATATTACAAATAGAGATGTATTTACTTTTTCTGGAATAAATTGAAAAAAAATTTTCCTTTAAAGTTAATAAAGATTCCCTGCACTCATCCCCTCAGTTAAGAAGAACTTCAAAGTTAGCCAGTTTATTTGTATATGCTACTTAATAAGCTTGCTTAGAAACACTGCAGATAGAATTTGTTTGATCACTTTTCTAATTTCTTACAAATATTTCAGTCATACCAAGAAATACAGTAACTACATAACATCATGTAACATGCGTCACTGCTCAGTCCTGACACCAACAAGAAAACACTACATAGAAAACCCTCTTAAAATACTTGGCTTCAGGGGTTTGTGGTGCTCCTTTTCTTTAAAACATAACAGAAAAAGCTTTTAATAAGATTTTCAACTAAAAGTTAAAATATTACTTTTGTAATAAGTGGAATACTTGGTTACTAATGTCCCTTTCACAATTCAAATAGTTAAAATCACAAAACTGACTTTAGTATGTTTTGTGTATGAGTAGCATATTCCCAGAGTAAAAATAACTATTTTGACACTTTTTTTTTGCCACAGACAGCCCTCCACATTTGCGTAACAGCTGCATTATACGCAGAATTGACTAACTTTTAATAGCTTTAAACTTTACAAATCATTTTAGTAAGAAATAAACTACAAGGACAAATTTTTCAGTTAAATAGCACAATCATTTTAGTGCATTTTCTGTACTCTTTTTCTAAAAAATACATAGGTTCATATTCTATGGTCTTAACTCCCTCACAGGATATTGCCAGGAGTGGGACAGAAGGAAGACTGTGATGAACGCTCACTGTGAATTTCTTTTATACCTATGTTTGCCTCTATAAAATACTGGTATAAAAGTCATCAACCTCAAAAAGTTCCATTTTTCCGAGGGAAGTATATAGACCTACCCTAACAACAAATGCTCAGTTGTACGTTGTTCTGCTTTAAGTCAGTATGGCTATGTCTTCTTAATGGGATTGAAATCAAGGTTTGAAGTGCAGAAAATTATTATTTTGGCTAGAACATCACCAACAGCTGAAAATGTTAGCTTGGCGTCCTCAGGATGGGACGACTGACAAGTCTGTGGGTCTGTCCAGTGATTTGGAATTCAGCAGGCGCTGAACTTAACAGAAGCTGGTTATTTTCAGGCCTCCATCTCCAACGTGGAGCAGTAATGAACCACCCTGCACATCCCAGGCATGTTGTGCTAACTGCATCAACTGCAATTTGGAAGGATCACAGCTCAGCTGGGAAAGTTTGGGGGAACAGCTCACATGTTCAAGACTGAGCGCTTCCTCCTTCAAACCAACTGCAAATACAGTTGAAAACAACTACACCCCTAGAAGAAGGCTCTCAGCTCTCTAAAAGCACGAATTCATGGGAGCTCACAGTCTGTGAACTGTGACACTCATCTATTTCCGTTATTTTGAAAGCCACAGCAGACAGATGCTCAATTAATGTGTAACATTCGCTTTTAATTGAGGCGGTGTGAAGCACTGCTCTTGCCTCGACACACACCTGTTGTAAAACTTCACTTTACTGACCTCTAGCACATCACCTCCGAACAAGGATGAAAGCTGCCTGTTTGTTTTTCTCCTCCATCCATCCCAGCCCTTATTTCCCCACCTGTAAGTTCCCTATTGAGTAAGGATAAATACAGCGCAAATACTAATTTGCATTCTAGGGGCAGAGCTGCACCTCCTCACAGTAGCTGACAGCACAGCTAAAGGGGCGGCAGAGAGAGCTGGGGCAGATCCCACAAGAGATGCTGCCAGATGTGCAGCAAGATCTACCTCCGTCTCCCTGCCCAGGGCAGTTAGACCACCCTCGGCCTTGTTTAGAAGGAAGGCATCTGAGGAGAGGGATCTCTCCTCCCTCTCTTCACCCTTGCACAGCCCATCCATCCCAGGGCAGGGGATGAGAGGTGTGGGAGCAATGGTTTCTGTGGATGAACTGCCCACAAAAAGGGGCGTTGGGGCTCCTGACCAGGGGTCACTGGATGGGCACGTTTTGAAAAACAACCCGAGACAATGACTGACTGGCTTTATTCAAATTGGAGGTGCTCTGCTGCGCAGAAAAAGAAAGAATGAAAAAACCCAAACAAAACCAAAACCCACAAAAAACCATAAACAAACAGAAAACCTCCAAACCAAGCTGCAACGGGGCCACTTTACAGAACTGAGTGTTTTCCCTCTCTTTCCTGTTGCTTTTAAGAAAAACAAACACCGTTTAGCAGGTTCTTGCCAGATGCCCCACAACCAACACCCTAACAAAGAACGCTGGGGGAAAAGAAGGTATTTTTAAGCTGGTCTGTGCAAATGTCATAGTTATAATTCCTTAAAAGCGAATTATACACGTGTGGTTTTGCAGTGTGTTAACACATGCTGTTACAGGAGCTGGCATCGAACAAGCTGAAATTCTAGCTAGAAGTTCTTCCTAGTCTGTGTGTGTGTCCCGTCCTTAAATGGAAGATCAAGAAATCTGCATGCAGTGTCGCTGTCAACCCCCAGCGCGTCCCACTCCCCATAAACCCTTCTCCTCCGTTCTAACACCCTGTTAGAGAATACTTTTTGTCCCTTTTACCAAGCCATGGGTGAGACAAGCAACCGCTCTGCCAAACTGGGTGATAAAGGGCAGTGTGGAAGATGGGGGGAGAAGGAGCTGATGCCTCAGTTGATGCCACCCGCGGGGGCCCGGCGGATGCCTGCGGCTGGCAGCGGCTGTTCCTGCTCCGGCGTCAGTGCTCGCCTGGCCCGGAGATGGGGCGCAAGGGGAGTCTGGTCCTGGGAGACGCGGAAAGAACACATTCCCACGTCCTCCGCAGCGCTCCACACCCACTTGGGCGCCCGGCGCGCCAGCACGCAGCCCCTCTCCAGCCCCAGAGGACCAGCAGCTCTCCCTGCCTGAGGTGTCCCGCCGGTGACGATACTCTGTTCTCCAGCGGGACCCTCACCGGGTGCTGCTGCAAACCCTGCGGGAGTCTCTCACCGCCCTCCACGACAGGACTGCGCAGCAAGCACAGGCTCGGGGGTCCGAAGAGACCTGCGGGCACGGGCAGGGGACTCAAGGGCAGCGCAACCCTTACCGCCCAATTTGCAACCCAGCTGGGGAATGGGGGCGACGTGCCGCTTGGGGAACAAAGTCCAGATAACTTTTGGGGAGAAACGGGGAGCCCCTCTCGGCGCTGGCAGCGACCCGGGACCGAGCGGCAGCGGGTTCTGCCGCACGGGACACCTGCCGCGCCCCGCGGGGCAGCTGCGGCTGGGGACCTCACGGCACCTACACTGCCGAGCACCTGAGCCTCCCTCCTGCCTGCCCGCCACGGGCCAGGGCGGCGCCGGGCTTCCCAGGACAGGTAGGCGAGGGGTGTCCGCCCACCATCTGCCGCGGAAGGCTCCTCGCTCTGGGTCGCGGCCCCCGCGGGTGCAGGATTCACACGGTCAGCAGCCACGCCGGCAGGCCGGCACGACTCATCAACTTTCTTCCCCCGGACCCTCTCCCCTTCTCCAGCCCGTTCCCCAGCAGCGCTCCCAAAAGAGAGCCGTCCCCCGGCCCGCTTACCTCGCATGGTGTTGGTTCCCCGCTCCGCGCAGTCATGAAGCTAGGAGCCCAGGAACCGCACCGCACAGATCCCGTCTCAACAGCCGCGAAGGTGGCAGCCGCCGCAGCTCTGCTCCGCCGGGAAAACCATACCTCCGGGGCGGCTCCGCGGGGCGCGGCTCCGCGGGCTCCCCGCCGCCGGGCGCGCTGCTCCGGGGCGGCCGCCCCGCGACTGCCCGCGGCGGAGCCTCTGCGGCGGGGCCGGGCGTGCGAGGGGCTGAGCAGGGGAGGAGGAGGAAAGGAGTTACGTTAGAAAAAAACAGGAAAAACACGCGGAGGCAGAAGAGAGGGGGGTGCCGCGTGGATGGCAGAGCATGTGCGCTTTCACATGACAACGGCGCCCCTCAGCAGCTCCCCGGTGCGGATTTCCACTGCGCAGCCACAGCAACGCACGGAGCAAAAATGAGACCCAGTGAGAAAGCGGCAAAGGGGCTTATAGCGGGGGGTGGGCGGTGCCGCCGCCGCTGCCGCCCCGCCCGCTGTCAGCGCCGCCGCCAATCGCCGCGGCCCACCCGGCTCCGCCGCCGCGGGTGGCCCCGAGTGCCGCCGCCCGGCCCAGCCCGGCCCGGCCCGGCCGTGAGGGCTCCGCGGGCTCGGCGCCGCTGCTCACCCCACTCGGGGCTGCCCCGCCGGCCGGGCTGCGCTGGGCGGGGAGCTGCGGGCATGGGGCCGGCGTGCAGGGCTCTGGAGCCTGCGGAGAAAGGCAGCGGGCGCAGAGTCGCCCCGTGTGGCGCTGCTAGCGAGGAGGCGGTGTCTCCGGGGGGAAAGGCGAAAGCGCTCGGTCACCACGGTGTGACCGTCATCGGGAAACTGCATTTTCCGACGGGAATGGGAAAGTTTGGTGGTGAGTCATTTTCTCATTAAAGAGTGAATCTGGACGTCGAAAGCAATTTGTTTTCCGGTGCAGATGGTTCTGCAGAAACCGGTGTGTTCTGCAGCCGGCGGGATTTTCACGACTCACAACTCTCCCTCTGATTAACTGATAGACAAACCAACGTTCGTCCCCGAGAAAAAAAACAAAAGCTCAAACAACCCCTCCAAACAAACAAAAGAAACAAAAAAGGCAACAAAATCCACCCGAACAAACAAAATTACTACGGGATCTTTCCAATTACTGGTTTGTTTTGGTTTTTTCCTGTATGATAGATCATGGAACGCAACCGGATCTCAGGCATCTTAAAAACAAATCCCTGTTACCACGGTTTACAGTTCCTAGTTCCAGGCTTAAAAGGAGAAAGCCTCTGATTTGACTAAAATGTATCCGTACAGAGTTACTATATCGACCTCATATATATTTGATAAATATTTGATATTGTTAAATTAGAAATGGACGTACCAAAATAGGTTTATTTGTCACTACCTGAATTATCTGACTAAGTTCTATTAGGTCTGTTTTGCAAGAGATCATAGGTATGATCCTTTTTGGTGTCTTAAGGGTTATTATAGGAAAGATACAAAGTGAATTGCCCACTGTTAGTTAAAACTGTCAAAGGTTTTTTCTTGGGGAGCAATGTTACAGGGTTTAGAGGAAGCAGTTCTTGTGGTTAGCCTCTTTTTAAACACCTGTTTGAATTGCAACTGACGAAGACACGAAAGAGTCAACTCTGTCAGTATTGAAAACATCTAGATTTACTTGACCATGGTGAATTTTAACTGCATTCGTTGTAGGGTCAGTTTAAAAAAAAATAATAAAAAAAATTTTCTTAATTCCTATGATACTACCAGATAGGATTTGTATTCTTGACCATTGTATTTATGCAATTCATATACTGCATGCAAAGTTGTTAATACTCATGTGGGATCTCATCCAGAAACTTTTACCAATTACTTGGCTTTTAGTCCACTTATATCAGCACACCTTTCAGCAACAGTTACGTTGCTCTCCATCTTTTCACTTCACAAGACCTGGAATTTACAGTGGCATGTTTTCTTTTTAATTGGGATTTTAGCAGATGTGGTTGGCGGCAGTTAGGCTTGCCTCCAGGATTCTCTTCTATGGATTTTCCCACAAACCATCTCTTCAATCTGTTCCTCATGTTCAAAAGCTTCTGAGGTAATTGCAACTAAACAACTCTTACCCATCACTTTGCAAACCATGTTAGGAAGTCTCATCTCATAATAATATAATTTGCCTGGTATCTAATATGGAATTTAGTAAACAGGGCTTATGGCTCTTACAAAAGCGACTCGGAGAGACAGCAGAGATTCCATCTACTCATTGTATTGGAACCAGAACATTTTTTTTTCCCTACTGGATTCACCTGCCACAGGAACAAAAGACAGGTGAATCTCAGGAGAAGGCACATGCTCTCTTTTCATATTGTCAAGACATCCTGTTCTTGGTTATGCCAATGTGATTTTTCAATTTAACTGTTTTCAAGCTGCATCTTAACACCAAAGAAAACTTTATTAGATAAATAACTAGCTATCTACTTGCTGTGCAGTGCATTCAAAATACCTTATGCTATTACGGTATTACAAATACTGCCTTTATGTGGTATTTGTGTGGTGCTTTTTGATAATGGAGAAAAAGATCTCATTATTCTTGCTTAGCTTGATTTTGATAAAAAGATTTTTTAAAATTTTATTTATTTATTTATTTATTTAATTTTTTTTTTTTTTTCTTTAGAAAACCCACATAATTTGACCCCTGGAGTTCATTTGCATTTGTCACTACCATATGGAGTGGCAATTTTATGTATCCATTTTCAGAAGCTCTTTCAGGTTATTCATCTTTCTTGTTCTAATATAGTATGTGTACAATGATGTCTGAGATAGCTTCTTCACTAGCTAGAGAAAGTTGGTAAATTTGTTGGTTTTTTTTAATATTTAGGATGAAATATTGTCTGCTAAGTACTAGTAATGGTAGTGAAAGGATTAGATGATATAAACATGTGTGAACTTCAGTGACAGCCAGACAAGTTTTAAATGCTTTATTTAAAAATACAGGACTGCTTGAAACTGTTATATTTTGAAGCAGGTAAACAACATGCAAGAAAGCCACATGATCTGAAGTCATACAGAAATTTATAGAATATTTAAAACCAGAACATATATCTTCAATAGTTAAATTAACTGAGTAGTACAATTTAGCCCACTATTCTTGAAAGATGTTAGTTATCCTAGGTTTCAAAGAGAGCCTTTTTCAGGTTTTTCTCATTTCAGGTGAGTGCTTCAGAGAAGAAGTTTAGAAAACATCAGAGAAATAGAGGTAAAATAGAACAAATAATTTGTTTTGCTTCAACATATAAACAAATGTTTTATGGATAAAGAACAATATTATTGCTATTATATTTTCACTGCAAAATAACAATGAGGAATTGCTTTTCAGAATATTTGCTTGCATTACCACCTTCCCAAGGCTCTTTGGATTGCCATCTACTTAGACAGTATTTAAGACCACCTACTTTTATCCTTTTAATAATTTGCAATATGTTCATTAGAGCTGTAGCAAGTTATGCCTAATTTAGTTGCTTCATTAAAAAGTACTGAATGAATAGTCAAAACATACTGTATCAGGCAAGACCCATTTCATTCCCCTGGATATCAATGGCTAATTTCTGTTGGCATGAAAAGATGCCAGATGCACCCCATAGTCACAATTTATTTCTTAGGTTCAATAGGAGTAGCATTGGTCACAATTTTCTTCATCTCATCTGTCTCTAGCTTCATTGACAGACATTCCTAACTTCATGTAAGTAATAAGAAAGATTTTCTAATTTTTTATTTTATGATTTTGCACAAAGTTATTGACAGACTCAGGAATATGAGCTTCTCTCACTTTAGCTTAACTTTCTGAAATTCTTTTTATCTTGTTGTGCTGTCTGCAGTTTGAAAACATGCACATGCACTATATTGTCTTTATTTCCTATAAAGACTTATAACCATTATGCAATTTCAAACTATTTACACAGAATATAATTTAATTAAAAACTGTGCATTTTCTTCCAAACGAGTAAAATTATTTTAAAAGCAACTCTAGAAAATCCTGACACAATAAGAAACAACATGTAGCAATTAAAAAAATTATAATTATGCCAATTTAGTTTTTGAAGCTAAGAATGTAATGTATTATACATGACAGGATAGCCAGAAACTTGAAAAAATAAAATGAAAAACCATGCTTGACTTTTTCCTCTGTCTTGTGAAATAAAAAGCAATCTGTAGCCATCAATAAGGAATCTCAACTTCTGTAAATACTTCATGACATCTATTTCATTCTGTATGTTCTTCCCTGCCTTAATGGCAGAGGTTGTATTGTGACTTCCTCTGCTTTACATGCAGTGTCAATCACTGGATCATGTTATAAAATGTCCCAATTAAACATATCTTGGAACAGGAATGCGTACTAGCTGAGATACTAGATACCATCATCACCTCACCCCCCGACAGAATGTTCAGCACCTGAAAAAACTGTCTGTTAAGGATACAATTGCTGCTTTAAACTTAGAACACCAAAGCCTTGAAATTATATTTTGGATTCTAAAACCTAGCCAAGGAAGGAGCTAAATTTGACAGTAGTACCTGTGCCCAAGTAACCTGGAGTTTGCGCTGGAGAAACTACAGCATATTCGAATATTGATGAGAGAGGAGGCAGTAGTGAAAGACTGTCCTGCAGCAAAAAGCCTGCCAGGAGGCAGTGACCTTCCAGGATTTGTGTCCACATTCTCCATCCTTGAGAGAAGGTCCAAGGGTTCCTAAGTTGTTTTGAGGCAATAAAAGACCAAGAATGAGCTTCAATGAAGGAGACAGAAAGATAAGAGTTGCAAGGAATACATGGGCCAAATAAAGTGCTGTAGGAAAGAAGCATGAGGCGGAAGACCTGCCTTCAGATCAGTGCTTCAAATCCTCCTGGTAGCATCTGAAGTACTAGACATTATAGCCTAGGAATGAGTCTCTGAGCATCTTCAAATTTCTATGGCTCTCATGAAGTATTTTAAAGTTTAAATGTGAGGAGGTATTATTTTTTCTTTTTTTTCTTTTCAAATGGATACTGAC